TTGTAATTTGTTCTGATTTTATTAATATAACAATAGGTGCTACACATAATAGGTAACAGTATATACTCATTGAAGCGCATGTGTTTAAAAACACACAATTTGAGGAGTTACATATCCCAATACACATTTGAGGGTTTATTTTTTTAATATTCATGGTTCAAAAATTTTGTTATCAATATTATTAAGCACCATTAGTAAAAACGTGTATTATCAACACCTAGGAAAAACTAGTAAAATGTGAATGCGTAGTAGTTACAAATGTCATACATTAGAAGGGTTAATTTAATTTTAATTTCATCTTTATAATATTTTATTTATTAATTGTTATGCATGCAAGTGTTTTGCTTGTATGTATATAAGTGTAGCTGTGTGATGAAAAGCCCACAGTAGCCAGGAGAGGGTGTTGGATCTGAAACTAGAGTAACAGATGGTTGTTAGCCTCCATATGGGAGCTGGTAATCAAACCCAGGTTTTGTGGAATCACAGCAAGTGCTGTTAACTCTGCATCATCTCTCTAGCCTGAAATTTAATTTCTTGATAGATGATAAGTAACTTTTGATTTCTGTTTAAAATCTTGCAGATTATCACTATTAAAAAAAAATCATTCTCAAGGCTTCTCTTCTTTTGCCCTCCTGCTCCCACTCCGGCTCCTGCTTCAGCTCTTGCTCTTGCTCTCTCTTGCTCTCTCACCACAGTTGGCATGGAACTCTCTTTGTAGACCAGGCTAGACTCAATATCACAGAGATATGCCTGTCTCTGCCTCCTGAATGATGAGATTAAAGTCATGGGTCACCACATTCAGCTCTCTTTGTCACTGTCTTGACCTTTTATGCAGCAAGTGGAATACAAAGTCACCCCACAGCATACACACATGCTCATGTAAACACGAGAAATAAAACCTATTAAATGTCTGAAATTTTGGCTATTTATCTCCCATTTTCAGTTAAATGAAAAACTGGAATTAAAAACAAAACTAAGTAAAGATTTTTATTATAACTTGTACTTACCACTTCTTTTGTCAACTGAATTTAATTGTCAAAAGTTTTACCATTTGGCAAGGTGAGTAATAAAATTTATGAATTTTTCAATAGTTTGTAATGTAGATATAATTTTTAATGAATTAGATTTTATTCTTTAGTAAACACTTGAAAGCCACAAACAGTACTATAACTACCTACATTGTAACCTGATAAAATGTATTGATTCATATTTATAATAATGAATTAATAAATATAATGAAATGTAATAACTACAAATAAAAGAGTCAGTCATTTATATTGTGGTCTCTTAATTTCATATTTCCTTTATATCATATTAGATCAGGGACCAGCATTTATTTTTTCAGGCTGAACTGTCTAATACTTAATGATAGAGAAAAGTGAAATCAAGTAGATTCTGTCTTATTTACATAAATATTTCTCAACTCGCATCAACTTCCAAAATCACTAATTTTTCTCATGATATCACATTACATCTACATATGATATAGACTATTTTATCAGTGTATTTTGAAAACACCATATATCCTTAAAGTAGAATTATGCTCTGCATTATGGAAAGAAAATAATCACACTCTAATGAGTCATTGCATTATTGGATTTTTGAAACTGTTTAGATCATGGACAAAGAATGGACAACAGAAACTGCTCCTCATTTCCTGAATTCCTTCTTTTGGGAATTACCAATAACCCGGACTTAAAAGTGATGTTATTTGCTGTGTTTCTAGTTGTTTATCTGACCATTCTGCTGACAAATATTGGAATGATCATTTTGATCAGGATGGAGCCCCGGCTTCACACACCCATGTACTTCTTCCTCAGCCACCTCTCCTTCTCTGACCTCTGCTATTCCACTGCGGTTGGACCCAAGATGCTGGAGGGCCTTCTTGGAGACAAAAATTCAGTTTTTTTTACAGGCTGTTTTCTTCAACTCTTAATCGTCTCTATCTTTATAGATATTGAGTGCATGTTGCTGGCTGTGATGGCCTTTGATAGGTACAGGGCCATCAGCAATCCCCTGCTGTATGCAGTAGACATGTCCAGTAGGGTGTGCTACCAATTCTTAACTGCAGTATACCTGGTGGGAACAATAGATGGTTTCATACATACAACATTGGCATTCAGCTTGTGTTTCTGTGGCTCTACTCAGATCAATCATTTTTTCTGTGATTTGCCTCCAGTTTTACTCCTTTCCTGTTCTGACACACAGGTCAATGAATTGTTACTATTTGTCCTTTTTGGTTTCATTGAGTTGAGCACCATCTCAGGAGTTCTAGTCTCCTACTGTTACATTCTATTATCAGTCTTAAAAATCAGCTCTGCTGGGGGGAGGTTCAAAGCGTTCTCCACCTGTGCATCCCACTTAACTGCAGTTGCCATTTTCCAAGGAACAATGCTCTTCATGTATTTCCGACCAAGTTCTTCCTACTCTCTAGACCAAGACAAAATGACCTCACTCTTTTATCTCCTGATTATTCCCATGATGAATCCTCTGATTTATAGCCTAAGAAACAAGGATGTGAAAGAGGCCTTGGTTAAACTAAGAGGTAAATGGTGACTTTAAGGAAATGCCTTAAAAATATACAAGAAAATGTTCTGTCAGTGGTAGGGTTTCTACTGTACAATTTACCAAATTTGTAATGTCACATTTTCTAAATTGATTATATTAAAGCCTAACAACAAGATGTTTCAGATTTCTCAATGTGTCCTTATTTTATTCAATTATCATGTGGTATTCATTCATTTTTTTAAAAAAAATTTCTTAACAGTTCTAATCGGCAAATTTATTTTTGTTCACTGTCTCATTACATTTTAATTTTACTATAGTATGGTTTTATACATTTTGCCACATTTTTGTGCTCTGAATTTTCTCACAAATCCATCAGATTCTTTAATAATGATGCTTAAATATCATTGAAATTAAAAAGAATTAATTAAAGAAGCATTCAAATCTTCATGATTAGCCTCCAATCAATCCTGAATTTTAAGGGAAAAAAAAGGTATAGACACAATTCTTCAGAAAAAATAAATTTTAGCCAAATGTGCAGATCATTTCTCTTTGAACAGATATTCATTCTCAGATCTAAATATCTGCATATTGTTCAAGGAAGTAATTGTACAATGAGGTAATGATTAAAGGAACTTTGAAGTGGAGAGGTCCTTGCTGGTTAGAATTTAAAATAGGCATAACATAGTCAAGTAACAAGCAGCTGTATGAAGGATACTAGTATACAATCCTTGTCTGCTGAATTTATCAATCATTCAAACTTCCATCTTTCTTCATTTTAGCCACAGTGGTATGACTCTCTGTATTCTGAGAAGTTCTCATCCTTAAGCAATCATTTAATGTTATCCTGCTTCTTAAATTTTGTATCTTTCATATAGATCATAGCCAATTTTTTCCCTCTCAAACAGTTCATTCCATTTCTGTTA